TTTTGTTTTTTCATGATTTCCCAATATAACCAGGAACAGCAGCCTCCACCCGGCCATGCATGATGGCCATGTGTCGACTCTGCCTGGCTTTCATCACTTCTGCCCTGACCTGGCTATTTGTGTAGCTTGACCTTTTCTTCCCACAAGCTGGTGAAGCTAATGCATTAAGGAACTAGCAAAATTCACGAACACTGCAAGTCAGAGTCATTCTTTTTTGAGAAGGCAACACATTTCAGAAACATCACTCGTAATTATGAAGCTATTATAAAAACGTTTTAAGAATGTGAAAGTACATTAAATCTACTCAAGGGAACAGGCACATGACATGGCCTAATATCATCTCTTGGAATAAACTTAATGTGTCAAAAGTTGCTTCATTAAAAAAAATGTAAATGTCCCAAAATGGTGTAAGGCATTTAAAAATTAAATGTCTATATTCAGGAGACGAGCAGATACCTGTTCAGGGCCGCCTTAGTGACTAACACAAATTGTCACATAAGTACTTGAGCCTCGATGAGAGAGGAGAAAAAAATGAACAAAATATGCTTTTTCATACAGACGCAGCACATAAGCTGTAATGGCCAAGTATGAAATCTTAGGTGATTTTGTCTACCTCCAATTCCATATATCAAATTGCTTTCTATGCTACATGGGTAGGAAGCATATACAAATAAAATGAAGGCCTAGAAAAATGGGAATTTCATTCTGGATCTCTCTAAAACATTAGTAACAATAGTGAAGACGGTTTATGAATCCTGACCACGTTTTCTATATATGACTACATTTCACACTCTAAATAATCTTTCAAAGCAAGGATTATTATTATCCCTAAATTATAAATGAGGAAATCTTTCTTCCAGAGGTTCACCCAAAAATCCCACAATTTTAACAAAAATTGTCTGTTAATATCCGCACACAGAATTACCTAGGTCTGGGCTCTATGTCCACTCGAAATGGTAGACAGAAAGCTGCAGGCTTGGCTCAGTCCTAAACTGAATTTGTTTGGGTTCTTCTGGAACTCAGAACAACTCAATCCTAGTTGTGAAATCTCTTCTGTAGGCATTCAGACACATACATTATTTCATCTTCTCAAAAATGAATAAATATCATTGTAACAATTCAAAGTTTCCCATCCAAAACTATCAGCAGTTTAGCATCTATCTATCTAGACTGTTTTTGACATACTTTTGTTTTTTACAAAATTGGTTTTATACTACACATCATGTTGTGAAACATGGTTCTTGCACTTTATCACATGTGTATAAATCTACCTTATTCTTGTGATTGCCTAGAATTCCACTGAATGAATGCACTCTTATTATTTAACCAGTTTCTTACTGCTCAACATTTAAATTGCCTATAGTTTTTTTGCTGTTATAAACGTGTTGCAGTAAACATCCTTGCATGCTGCCATGAGTAGTTCTGTGTATAGATACCCAGCACTGCTACTGCAGAAAACTGCTGGTTTATAGAGTTAGGAACTTAAACATCTGATAGACATTATCAAAGTGCTCTCCAAACCAGCGGTCGCCAACCGGTGGTCCGTGAGTCCGAACGACTTTCTTAAGCAATGTCTTTTCTCTGCATGTGTTCCTCTCCCACTTTGGGGGGATGGTGTTTAGACAACGTCTCCCAGCCTTTGCCCTTCTTTTCTGTCCTCCACTTTTCCTGGTCTACTCTCCACTTCTGTCTACCTCTATCTCACCATCCTTTCACTGCCCTATTTAATTGACTATAACATGACACAAAAGCATATTTTAAATCTTAACATACTATGAAAGTTTTCTGTTTCCTCTTGTTAAATAAATAATTGGGTAGTTTTATTTTTTTCATATATCTCCCTAAAAAATAGTAACAAAGCATAAAAAAATTACTTTAATGGTGGCCCTTGATTCCAATGACCCATGGCCAGGGAAAATGCCCCTCCTGCACCCCCTACACACAACTCTGGTGTGCAAAATGTCAAAATTCATCTATATAGAAAGTTTCAAATTCAGTTCAGTATCAAATATTATTTCTGGTACATGATGCTAAAACATGCAGATATCTAACTTTTCAGGTTTTAATTAGATATTCAGTGTTAGTAGTTAGGATAAGATACAGACAATCATGATCACAGAAAGCCCTTGCAAGAATTCTTTTTTTTCCAAGAAATCTTTTGAATAGCAGAACAATGATCAGGGAGAAGCTGCTTGGCTTTCATTTCTGCATAACCAACCTCTCCAAGGACACCTGTCTCATATACTTGTCTCCCTTCAGGAGTCAGTAAACTGCCCCTGGGCAAACACACAGAGGGAAGGTCAAGGACTTAGAAAACCATGGAAAACAAATCTTGGGGACTTTCAGTTTATGTGTCCGGAAAGAAAAACACAATTTGATTTTCCACTCCTAAGATAAACAATACAGAGAGAAATACAAAGAGTTAACTTTGATGGGGAAACAGAAAAAAAATCTATGTGGTGTGTAAGGCAAACAGCAAAGTGAAAGGATAAATTCTAATAAATAGAAAAGATGAGATTTCCCTTGAAAGACATATACAAGATGGGGCAAGTATAGGTTTACAATTGTTCATACAGAAAATACTACAATAATTAATACATAAGACAGTGGGGCCTTGACTTGCGAGTTTAATTCGTTCCGAGACCGAGCTCGTTAACTCAAATTACTCTATCAACTCAATGCAAAACATCTGCTGAGAGACAGCTGGTATCTCGAAAAACTCGTTAGTCGGGACACTCGTAAGTCAAGGCCCCACTGTACAAGAATGAATTCTGTGTTTTACATACTCACAACTATAAACCTACTTGTGCCCTACCCCCTACCCCCCTAGAATAAGAGAGGGAGAAATTACATATGCATGTGTGTTAGGGGAGGGAGGCTGTTTATGTTCATTGAAAAAGTCTAAAAGGATATGTATCCAAATACTAGTATTGGTTATCTCTGGAGGTTGGGATTACAGGCAGTTGTTTTATTCTGCTTGTCTGGACTTCCTAATGTTTCTTCAGTAAACACAAATAACGTGTGCAAAGCTAAAAATATAAATGTTTGTAAAAAAAAAACTCAAGACATTTGAAAGTTTTGCAAAATATATCTAAGGGCTCTGTCAAACTCCAAATACCTGACATTTGACTTGGTAAATTTTGTTAGCCGCCAAATTCCCACACTTGAACAAGTGAAAGACTGTTCACAGAGTTGACACAATGAAATAGAAAAACCCCAGAAATACTAGGTAAAGATAGTTAAACAATTTGGTTGCAGGTATTAAGCAATTCAATATTTATATATAACGGTTAATAAGAAATGGCATTTACTATCAAGGACTTGTTTCCAAAATAGTTTAGGAGCCTAGAAAAGTGAACACTTTCAAAGGGATTCAAACCAACAGGTAGTCCAAATGGAATTTATTCACAAACAGCCCTGGATCGGTTACGTAAGCCATAGCTACTAGCTTGCCTTGCCAAAGAAAGGACAGGCTTATTCAGATGCCAAGGAATGTTCAGAGTTTGCACCTTAAATCTACTGCAATTTCATGGCGACGCATTGCAGCATTAAGCATAATAGCAAAAGCCTGGAAACAACCCAAATGATCATCATCAAGACACTGGCTGAATAAACCGTGGTGTCTACACAGTGGCGTGAGTGCCATGCCACTGAAACAAAAGAATGGGCGCTATTTCAACCACACGGCACAATCAACAGGATATATTGTTACCTTTTAGTGAGAAAGGGGGAGGGAAGAAATATAAAGTATACTTGTTTGCTTATATTTGGAAAAAAGGATAATCCAAAAACCAAAAAATAATTTTTAAAATGATTACCTATAGAGGGAAGGAGTCAAGGTAGAGGGAATGGGGAGAACAGATGTGTAGTTTTAACTTTGGAAACCTGCAAACCTACTTAAATATTAAATTTTAAAGAATGTATTTATTGAGTCTTGATTGAAGTTTAATTTGGCTAACAAAAACTTTCATTTCTACTGAGTTGAAACTTCATAAATAGAAATAATAAATCTTTCTAGTTTCATTATCCCTTAAAGTGAATGTTTGCCTATTCGACCTGGAAAGCCAAATTTTATGTTTTCCACACATTTTTCTTTTTCTTTCCTACCAGCTGTTCCATGGTACAGACAGACAATTTCAGGTTGGAAAAGAAATAAGTTGGGCTTGTGTGTGTTTCTTTTTAATTGTTATTATAAAGATGACCTTTTCAGAATAGTTTTAGGTTCACAACAAAATTGGGTGGAAGGTCGAAAGAATTCCCACATAGCCCTCAAATACACATAGCCTCCCCATTATCAACATCCTCCATAAGGGATACACTCATGTAGGTTGATGAACCTACATAGACACAACATTATTACCCAAAACCCATAGGTTCACTCCTGGTGTTGTACATTCTGTGGGTTTGGACTAGTTAACAATAACATGCACCTATTTTTATAGTATTTTCACTGCCCTAAAGACCTATTCATCTTACCCTCCCCACTCTCCCCACCAACCCCTGACAACCACTGATGGTTTTGCTATTTCCATAGTTCTGCCTTTTCTAGAAAGTCATATACTTGGAATCATACAGCATGTATGTAGCCTTTTCAGATTGGCTTCTTTTACTTAGTAAAAAACATTTAAGGTTCCCCGTGTCTTTTCAAGTGGTTTTTAATATGTCAGTATCAACCATAAAAAAAAAACTTTTCTTATTCTTTCGGACCTTTGTCCCGTTGTTTCAAAATAATCAGAGAGGCCAGCGACATACACGAGGCCGAGACACGTCGAAGATGTAGGCAACCTTCACAGGGCAGTTACTACGTAAACTAGAGCCACTTGCTGCTGCTTCTCTTCTCGTGGCCGGGCCTGCGGGCCCTGGGTCCTGCTGACACACCAGCCGGCGGCTGCCATCACCTACAGGCCATGGCCCACGCCTCCCCCGCGGCTCAACTGTGGGCTCGCAGGCCTAAGTGCCCACGACGCTGACCACCACCACCAGCTAGCACCGAGGCCCCAATGCAGGTCATGCCCATCCCGAGGTGGGTGCGCTCCTTTCCCGTCCCGCACGCCACCTGCCCGCACACCACCTGCCTGCACAGGCCCCTCTGCACCTCCCGCCTGGCGCGCACCCAGTACAACTTGGAAGTGTACGTGCACGGGCGCCGGCTCTATGGCTTCATCCGCTTCCTGCTCTACTACACCTGCAGCCTCCTCATGGCCAGCCGGCCGCGCTGGCTGCAGTACCTACCTGGGCGTGCGTCCGCGTCCAGCTCAAGTGCTGCTGCTGGTGCTGCTGCTGCTGCTGCTGGGCTGCAGGCGCGGGGACTTCCGCCTGCTCAACAAGCTGCTGGTCTACGGCATCCACGTGACCCTGCGCTGGTGCTTCATGGTCTTTGTGTGCAAGTGAGCGCCCCGGGCCTGGGCCGGGCTCGGTTACTGTGACCAGTAGGGCCGAAGCCTGCGACCAGCCGCTTCTTGACGGGGTAGGTCAGGGCCCTGGTCTTTCACGCTCCCTCCCGTCCGTAGCTGGGTCTCTGCCCAGGACAGGGACGGGCTGCGACTTCTGTGCACAGACACTGCGCCCTCCGCCCGCTGACCCGCCTGTATGTACAGTCCCCCATGGCCACCTCCCGGGGTTCCAACCGCACTTACCCAAGCCGTGCTGCGGGGCTGCCCCATCCATCTGTACTTGGAGAGCCTCTGTGTCCCCGTCCATTCTCCAGGACACTGGCGTCCCCAGTGGGGTAGGGGGTTCCCCCCCAAGGGGTGTGCTGCCCAGGAGCAAATCTGGACCCCTCCTGGACTGGCCCCGGCCCCTGACCCAGCCTTAGGGAAGCGTCCGGCTCCATTCACCACATTGCCGCGGGGCAGCCGGTCGGGCACAGCCCACAGACCTTCATCCGCCCCGGGTCTTGAGTCCTAGCCAGTCTTGAGGGTCACCTTGGAACCCTGCAGGCTCAGTCCAGCGGGGAGTCAGGGCCCCGGCAGGTGGTAGACTGGGGTCAGGCCCAGGGCAGATCCGTCTTCCTCCTGGGCAGGTCGGGGACTGTCAGGCCCCTTCACATGTGGATTTCTGGGGAGGCACCTCCGTTTCTTCCTGGCTCTGGGGGCTGCTTTTGGTCTGTTCCTTTGAGAGAACGCAGAATTGGGACGTGTGTCTGGAGCAGATGCTGGAGGTCTCCGGGCGCTCTGAGTGTGCACCACGAAACATGGGCACACCTGTGTTTAAGGCACCACTTAGCGACAAGGGGTGGCCCAGGGCTGGATCTCTGGGGGAGGGGCCAGACCACCCCTTTGCTTCTGCCCTGGGGGCTGTGAGAGCAGCTAGGGAGTGAAAAGCAAAAATGAATGTGGGCAGGGACTGTGGCCAGGAAAGAGCAAAGGGCTGGTGGTCCTGAGGGACTTTTGGTCACAGAGAACACACTCCAGAGCCAGCGTCTGTCCAGACCCTTCCTCTGGCCTTCTGCAGTGAGGGTGGCCATGTCGCTCAGTGGCCACCGTGGGCCTCCTTGGCAAGTAGGAGGACACTCTGAATAATTCTGCTGGGACAACAGGCAGAGACAGGGGACAGGGCATGGGGCCGATGCTGCTTCACCCCAAGTTGCCCCTTTACCTCTCTGACAGTGGCCCCTTTGACTCTGCCTGGCCAGGCAGGCCAGTGGCTCGCGGGGACTGTCTGGACAGTTATGTGCCCCTGGAAGAAAACCCAAATCAGGTAGAGAAAGCAAAAAGCACTTGGCTATAACTGTGCCCCTCAGTTTGTAGCCAGCTCTGCTGGACGGTTGTCAGCCTAAGGTCAGTGGAGAGGCCCCTTGAAGAAGGAACTCAAGGAACTGACCCAAGGGGGCACCCTTCTCAGAGCTGCGAAGAATCTTTTGCACTAAATCATGCTGTTTCCTAAAAGCTTTGTTTTGTATTAACTCATGCTACTCAGATCCTTTGAAGTCCCCTGACTGAGGTGGGCATGTGTGCACACCACGGGGATGGTGGGAGGGGTCTGGCCGTGGGCCACCTGGGGTGTCTGCGTGGCAGTGCTAGGAGTTGACACGCTCAACGTGTAGTTGCTCGGGGTCTCAAGTGCCTGTGAAATTCTTTATGAAATGAGCCACCTGCATTAAACTTATTTTTTTTTAACGTGAAAAAAAATAATCATAGAAACTAATACTTCTCAGAGTGTTCACTATATGATAGGCACTCTCACTTTAAACACAGGGTACATAGGTTCTCACTTGATCTGCTCAGTGACCCTGTGAGGTACTTCCACTCTCCCCATTTTACCGAGAAAGCTAAAGCATAGAGAAGTTAGTCACCTGCCCAAAGTCACATGCTTTTCCTTTCAGCCCTTATTGAGGTATATTTCATATAGCATACATTCTCTCCAGTGTACAATTCAATATTTTTTAGTAACTTTACCAACTGGTAAACCACCACTATAAATCACTTCTAAACATTTTCATCCTCCAATAAGATCCCTCGTGCCCACTTACAGTTAATCCCTGTTTATACTCTGAGCCTCAAGCAAACACTACTCTACGTTCTGTCTCCATATTTCTGGGCATTTCATATAAATGAAATCAGGCTCTATGTGGTCTTTTGTGTTTGGCTTCTTTCATTTACCATCATGTTTTTGAGGTTTGCTCATTATTAGCATGTTAGTAGTTAGTTGTTGTTTTTTATCGCCGAATAGTGTTCCATTGTGTGAATACCTCATGTTTTGTCGATCCATTTACCAGCTGATGGGCATTTAGGCTGTTCGAGTTTGGAGCTATAATGGATAACACGGTCATGAACATTTGTGTGCAAGTTTTCATGTGACTTACGTTTTTATTTCTCTCTACGTAGGAGAGGAATCACATGGTATATAGTAGTTTTATGTTTATCTTTTTGAGAACACAGCCAAAATGTTTCCAAAGTGGCCTCACCAAGTGGTTTTGCATATGGTATGTGCTCAGAGTCTAAGTCGATCTTTTTGCATTATGGATATCTTATTTTCCCAGCACCACAGTTGAATAGAGTATCCATTTCTAAGTAAATGAGCTTGGCATCCTGTTAAATAAAAATAGGTCAGTTGACTCTAGATACTGTAAAAGGATTTATTTCTGGATTCTCAATTCTGTTCCTTTGGTATATATATGCGCCAATATCACACTGTATTGATAAGTGTAACTTAAAAGTTACGTTTTTTAAATTGGGAGATGACATTTTATTTTTTACAACTGATTGAGTCTAGGTACGTATTTGCATTTCCTTATAGAGTTTAAGATCTGCTTGTCAATTCTGTCCCCCAAAAAGCATGCTGGAATTTTGACAATAATTGCATTGTAGATTGCCAGTGTGTGTTTCTCAGCATCTAGAAGGGTTCAGGAATCTGGAGAAGGTGCTGTGTGTAGATTAATCAAGAGTCCAGAGACGAAACATAATTTTGAAAGGCATTTGGGGGGCCGGAGGAGCTTGGCTAAAGAAACCAAGTTCTCCTTGTCTCAGGACCCCTTGCTATTTATTAGCACAATTTGTCCTAAGGCAAGGTAGGTATGCACATCAAAGGGCAGGGCTATTATACAGAATCCATTGTCAGATTGGGGGAAATTGCCTACGGCTGTTCAGGTGTTTGGCCAGTAGGAGGCAATAACATGTAGATTGAAATGCCCTTAGCTGTCTGGCTGCGAGCAATCATTTAATGCATCCTTTTCAGGTTTGGGGAAATGCCCTCAGCCATCTCCAGATGATTCAGCCCTGCTGACATGCTGGAATTGGCTTTCCCCAGTGGATATAGACCAATTTGAAGATAATTGACATCTTAACAATATTGTGTCTTCCAATCCATGGACATGGAATGTCCTTCCATTTACTTAAATCTTTCTTACAGCAAAGTTTTGTAATTTTCAGTGTGCAAGTCCGAATTTCCTCTTTAAAATGTATTCCTAAGTATTCTATTATTTTTGATACTAGTATGAATGTAATTATACTCTTAATTTCATTTTTTTAATTTTTAATTGCTTCCATATACAAATACAACTGATTTTGGTATATTGATCTTGTATCCTGCAACCTTACTGTACTTGTGTGCTAGTTCTAATGGTTGTGTTAGTGTGTGTGTATTCTATTCTATATACATATTTGCTTCAGAAGCCCAGCAAGTTATAAAAGTCATTTTTAAGGGGCCTTTGATAAATGTTTGGTTTCATTTACAAACTTGGCTAAACTCCTTTTAAACTGCTTTTATAACTTTAATGTGTTCAATGTCCTTTTGAGTACTGCAATTATCTGGCTTAACAAAACCTTCCTGAATACTCAAATAACTGTTATAAATCTAATACATTGAACTTATAAATATGGTAAATCTTTAGTTCTATTAAATTATTCAATTCTGTAATAAACTTATTAAAATTTAAACTTAAAATCACAAGTCTAAATCAAGTACACATTTAAAATTAGAATCACAAGGATGATCTCTTGCTCCATTAGGCAAAATTCTCTTAAACACTATAAGTTGAAATATGCCAAAATATAAAATGCCCAAAATGCACAGATTCCTTAACCTAAAAATATTAATACACCACATTTGAGAGTCTTAAACATTACTGTGCTTATTTTTAAATTAAGTAACCATGCCATCCTGAACAACCATCCCTCTCTTTTCTTTTTCTCCTCTGTAAATTTGCCCCCCAATCATCTTGACTACATTTCTTTTTTTTTTTCCGATATAGATTTATTGATTTCAGAAAGGAAGGGAGAGGGAGAGAAAAATAGAAACATCAATGATGAGAGAGAATCATTGATCAGCTGTCTCCTGCATGCCCCTCACTGGGGATCAAGCCCACAACCCGGGCATGTGCCCTGACCAGGCATCAAACCATAACCTCCTGGTTCATAGGTCAGTGCCCAACCACTGAGCCACATTAGCCGAGTGTCCTGACTATATTTCAATGACCGCCTTTCCATCAGCTGCCTGTGTGACTTTGGCTAAAGCTACTACCCTCTTAGGGTTCCTGTCTTCTTTACTTACTTAAAAAAAATATGGGTGGGGTTAGGTTAGATGATCTCTAAGGTCTTAATCATAAAATTCTGAAATTCATATTTTTCTGTTTGTTCACAGCTATGATTTTCCATTCAGGCTAATGGAGATGAGCAAAATTACTAAAAAGTAGAGCATCTACTGCACATGAAAAGCTAACATCACAGTGAATGTTCATCATTGCACATACAGTCATGTGCCACATAACAATGTTTCAGTCAACAACAGACTGCATATACGATTGTGGTCCCATGAGATTTTAATAGAGCTGAAAATTTGTATCACCTAGAGACGTTGTAACTATGATAAAGTCCTAGCTCACTGCATTACTCACATGTTTGTGGTAATGCTGGTGTAAACAAACCTATTTCGCTGCCGGTTGTACAAAAGTA